ATTACAATGGGAAAATGAATCCTAGCCAGTGAAAGTGAGATTTAGAGTCATGCCATCCCCTTTCCCCCTAATATCCTTCTAATTGTCCTTTATAAGAAACATATGGGGGCAGGCAAGACATCCCTCAAACGCAATCTGTTTTGAATCTTAACATGACATTGGGCAAGCCTAGTAATGGGGATATTATGACAGGATTAATAGTTGGTTAGCTCCCTCTAAACATTGCCCTGAGCTATGCGTCATTGCCAGCAACCTCAGAATTCAAAAGCTTTAAGCTTGGAGGTTGGCACTACCATGCTTGTTTCTATACAGCGGCCATTTTCTAAACGCTGAACGCAGAAGTTTATTGATAATGCGGAGCCAAGGCATGACTGGTAAGCAAAAAATGGTGGCTGCTGGTAGCAACAGAGGTGGGAAGGTTGCAGTACAATGCCAACTCAGCATATTTTTTTAAAAAAGGTTATCGGTAGCACCTGTACACTTCAGTTAAGGGATAGTTTAGGGGTGTTGGGAGTCCTACGCCATGTGGAAAGCCACAGGTTCCTTCTCTGCTCTTTCAGGTATATGACTCCACTCACTATGGCTGCTACTACTTACAGCAGTGGCATGCATTAGCCTTCCACTGAATATTTCTTTCCCGGAATATATGTGAGCCCATCTTTCTAACTTTCTGTCTGTTGATTCTCCACAATAGTAAAGGTAAAGGTACCCCTGCCCGTACGGGCTAGTCTTGCCAGACTCTAGGGTTGTGCGCCCATCTCACTCTATAGGCCGTGGGCCAGCGCTGTCCGGAGACACTTCCGGGTCACGTGGCCAGCGTGACATCGCTGCTCTGGCGAGCCAGAGCCGCACACGGAAACGCCGTTTACCTTCCCGCTTGTAAGCGGTCCCTATTTATCTACTTGCACCCGGGGGTGCTTTCGAACTGCTAGGTTGGCAGGCGCTGGGACCGAACGACGGGAGCGCACCCCGCCGCGGGGATTCGAACCGCCGACCTTTCGATCGGCAAGCCCTAGGCGCTGAGGCTTTTACCCACAGCGCCACCCGCGTCCCTACTCCACAATAGTAGTCCTTACCTATCCTCCCGGCAATTCTCCTTCCATCTATGTATGCTTCAATGATGAGTTCCATCTTTTCCCACCACAACCAGTGTTTATATGTAAGAACTTCAAAACATTATGAAATTACATGCCAGCAATAAATGGGCAGCAAAGCAGTCAAATCCCTAGCTGTAAAAACACACATTAATAAGATAATTTTAAAGAAAAGACACTCTTTTCCAGTGTAGTGTAGTGGTTAAGAGCGGTAGTCTCGTAATCTGGGGAACCGAGTTCACGTCTCCGCTCCTCCACATGCAGCTGCTGGGTGACCTTGGGCCAGTCACACTTCTTTGAAGTCTCTCAGCCCCACTCACCTCACAGAGTGTTTGTTGTGGGGGAGGAAGGGAAAGGAGAATGTTAGCCGCTTTGAGACTCCTGAAGGGGAGTGAAAGGCGGGATATCAAATCCAAACTCTTCTTCTTCTCTTCTTCTTCTTCAAGTCATCATTCTAAATTGCAGCAACTTTTACTTCGTACAGTTAAAACTGGAATTAACTTTATACTGCTTATAATTATTATAGCTTACAAAGGGTTGGATCCAGATTTGCTGTTCTATGTTGAGAAGGGCTCCTTCCATTAGCCAAATCAGATCCAGGTGAGGCTCCTCTGAACAGGAGGAGGCAATTTTTGCTGATTTCTCCTTCTCCTGCTGGCCAACTCCATTGCTGCGCTGGAGGATTCCCAACTTTATGGAACAGATTTAGGAGCAGGGGCAGAGGGAATCAGCAAAAATCATATCTTCCCTCCCCATTTAGTAGAATTCTGTTCCAGGCAGAAATCAGTAAATGTAGATTGGGGGAGGGGGGTAAGAATAAATAAAAAACTATCAGTTTCAGGCAGAACTGTAACTGCTTCCTGAAGCCACTTCTGTTCAGCTGCAGCTATTATGAGTAGAGTGTGGTCATACAAAATATTTTGAAGAAGTGATACTTTTAAGCATCAGTCATAGGGGAATTCCCCCCCCCTTTAGACTTTTGGAAACATGACAATATTACAAACTTAGCCCAAGACAAGGGATCTGGGGTGGTACCTGACTGAGCAGACTTATTGCTGCAGTGAGAGGGGGGCACCTTCTGTCGCAGCCTTATGAGAAATGCTATGTGGCACAGGTACTATTTGAAATAGATAAAGTTCTTGGAATTTATAGCACTCACAGGGTGAAAGCCAATGTACTGCTAAATGAATGTTCTCTCAGTGTAAAGATTTCTGCTTGTACAATTAATATTCTCCCTTCCTTCTCCTCTGTACCCCCAATCAAATTTGTCCCAACCCTCTTAAGGAGATTTGGAGAGCGTACAAGGCACACACAGGGGCAGGAGATGGAGGGAAAATTCAGTTGCACAAGCAGGAATCCTTGCAGCAATAATACTGCCCAGAATTTGTTTGGCTGCATGTGTGTGGAGGTAGGGTATTGGAGGTAGTTGTTTGCTTGCTTGCTTCCTGCAGTAGCCTTTTGTATGGTCTGTAGAGCACATCTGTTTTTGGGAACCTACTTCTGCATGTAGAACATTATCACTGGATCAGAGGATGACACACACACAAAAGAATTTTCTTCATGTTAATTTAATTTACTTTTGGGCAACTCTGGGCAAAACAAACAATAACAATAGAAATGGTATAAGACATTAGTAGGAATTTTATTATTATAGGGTGCATGCCAAACCAAATTTCTTGAGACAGTTTTGTAAGTTTTAAGAATATTGAATGAGATTTTTTTTAAAAAAAAATTGCAACACATATTCTCACTTTAGGGACTTAAGGTTCTTGAATGTTTCCAATACCCTTTAAAAAGCTTTCAAACATCTTTGTCTCCTAAAAGGGTATTTACTATTTGTTAATTCCCACAAGGCATTTTCACACACTTCATGAGTAAGTGGCTAGCCCCTCGCCCCCCCCCCACGCACACCACACACACTTTTTACTATGTTAACATCCACAACGAAAGCCAAAGGAATTTGCAGACCTTTGTGAATTCCATGTCATATTACTTGGGGCTGGAATGCTGTGTCACAACCTGGGTGGCTTAGAGTAAAATAATGCATTTCTTTCCCCCTTAATGGTTGGAATCCACACATTTTCTAACAGATCATTTATTCTCAGTAATTCACATTTTATCATAGCAAATATTTTATAACAGATGCTTTCCTTATTCTGTGCTTGCTCGCTGTCATAACACTGCTAGTTTATGATGCAAGATTATTCCTGATTCCTGGATGTAGCTGGGTTGCTTCCACACTACTCATTTCCCCTGGAATGGCAGCCAAACTTCAAGTAATGCTAAGGGCACAATATCTCTTTCAGAAATAGTGTGTGAGTGTGATCTGGATCGGGACTCTAAAATAGGTGAGTAGGAGGACTCCAGCCTTTGCCCCCTACTGCTGCTGATTTCTATGAGGCCCTCACTTTTCTGCAATTTGCATGAGGAAAAGTTCCCATTTGCTTCTGTGGGAGCTCTTTTTTTTTTTTGCAATGCAAATTACATAGGTCTAAGATTTAAAGATTCAGGTGGCGCTGTGGTCTAAACCATTGAGCCTCTCGGGCTTGCGGATCAGGAGGTTGGCGGGTCGAATCCCCGCAACGGGGTGAGCTCCTGTTGCTCGGTCCCAGCTCCTGCCAACCTAGCATGACAAAGTGCAAGTAGATAAATAGCTACCACTCCGGCAGGAAGATAAACGGCGTTTCTGTGCGCTGCTCTGGTTTCGGTGTTCCGTTGTGCCAGAAGCGGCTTAGTCATGCTGGCCACATGACCCAGAAAAAAATGTCTGCGGAGCGGACAAACGCCGGCTCCCTCAGCCTTTAAAGCGAGATGAGCACCGCAACCCCAGAGTCGTTCGCGACTGGACTTAACTGTCAGGGGTCCTTTAACTTTTAAAGATTTAAAGCTCCCCGATACCCACTCCAAAACACTGACCAGAGTCTCCCCTGCCCCCCCACACCATTTCTTGGGGGGAAACCAGGTTAAGGGCAAAAAACTTGATCAACATCGCATGTAGCTTGGCCCTCTTTCACTCAGTTATTATGAGGAATTCATTTACAGACAGCTGCATCCCCGTGTTTTCTATATTGTACTCCAATCAAGACTTGGTTTGAGTCATTAATCTGGCTTGCTCAGCGGGTAGACAGGTCCTTGAGACTGTTATTGATGCCCGCCCACCTACATTGCTAGCTTGCCTCGATTTTTTGTATTGCTTGAAGCTGGCCCTTATCATCACTCATAAGTTGCATCCACCTCGTACATTTAAAGAACATGGCTTCTTCCAAAGAATCCTGGGAACTGTAGTTTGTTAAGGATGCTGGGGATTGTAGCTCTGTGAGGGGTACTGTTTGGGGAAAGTTATGCACGGTACTTAAAATGTATGAGGTGAATGTAGCCTAAGCAAATGTGTTTCTGATTTATTTTAAATTTAAAATAAATATTTTTAATAAAGATAAAATAAACAAGCAAGTAAGCTCCCATGGAAATGAACAGGCTGATAAAACATATTTGGGATGATTTTGTAATAAAGGTCTAAATTCAAAGACTTGGTCAAAGGGGAAAAGGCAGACATTCCCCTGGGTATGCCCACAAGGCCTTGAGTTTATCTAAAGTAAATTGTTAGACCCCTGGCAAAAATCTTGTACTGTCGGGCTGTCCGAAAACAGAACAACAAATAAAGCACACCATTAAATTGTTCCAGAGTTATAAGAAACAGGCCAGGTTAAAAATAGATGAATTATACATTTCAAAAGGCCTAAAAAGAAGGGCTGTTGCAATATTTTGGCTTTTATCTCTGGCTTTAAGAGGCAGGAAGCTATTGACAATTACATCTAGCTTGCTCTACCCAAGGAAACAGTAAATCCACTTTCCCACAGTTGTGTCTTATGCTCCCTCTAGTGTTTATTTTTGGATGTAAGCACAGGCAGGCTGGAGAGGAAAATCCTGGAGTCTAATCACAACATGTCCCATTAATAGGATTAAGTACCTTGTCATTAGATAAGTAGTACATGGCAAAATCTGTGACACTCATGGAAATTAGAACAGCATCCTGCCTTGGTCTTCCCTGAAGCTTGAAAGAGGTTTGCAAGAGGACTCATCAGAATTTGTGGTAAATATCACATCTTGTTGGTTCTATTACTAAACAGCATCTTTTTTCCCACGAAATGTGCTGGCCACCTGCTATTGCTGGGCCTACAAATATAAAATCCACGACCTACATTTGTAGGTCTGAATTGTAACTGATTTTATTACAATTCGTTTGATATCACTACACCTTCTAAAAAAATAAATAAATAAAAACCTAGGTACAATTGCTTGAAAAGAAAAGAAGAAACTAATGCAAAACTTTATTTTTTTCCCTTAGTAAAACAAGAGTTGTGTGGTATATATTAATAATATATTGCAAAAAGTAAAATATTTTACAAAATGTTAAAGGGAACATAAAGACTTGGGCAGGCATGATCCAGCCAAAGTCAAGAAGTTTAAATTCACATTTGATATCAGTGGGAAAATTAAGCATGTGCATAAATTTCCTGAACTGGAATGAAAGGGACTGAAAGTTAATTAGACTCCAGAGCATATAGTGGAGAAGGTGGGAGAAAAAATATATGAGTTTTTGTCATTAACTTCAATAGGAAGTTGATAACACTGGATACATTTTCATTGATACTGATACCCCACACATATTACCGGTACATGTTCTGCATTATTTTAAATAACACCGAAAACAGCTTTAGGCCGTGGAAAAGCTAGTTATTTCCAGGAGAGTTAATGAATCCCATTTTAACATGTATATTATGGGAACCCTTTTGGTTTTAATTTTTACAGTTCCTGAAGCAGCTAAAGAATGGGAAAGGTTTTCATTAAAAGTTAATATATATTATGGGGGGGGGGGAAGAGGAGACACTTTGATACAAAATGTCAGGTTTAGCATCATTTGAAACATTGCCACAATGTGGTTGCACTGTGTGTTTCCATTGTTATAAGATATTGTTACATACTAAAGCATTTTACTACTGGCAGAAGCAGTCTTAAAACTGGGCCATTCTTTGAAGAATTTTTTTTTTTTTTACAAAATGCTGGGGGAAAATATATATTATCATCACAGTAAGAAAATACTAAATGCATAATATTTCTAAATTAATCCTCCTAGCTGTCTGAGATGTATCTAAAACCAACTCATTAACCTATTGTATTGTACTCATTCCTAATGCAGAAAACATGAAGCCTGTACTGTTCTTAATAACGTACTTATTATGTCTGAGGGGACATCAGTGTGCACCTACTGTGGAGGGAGACATAAATTTTGTGGAAAACCTGAAAGGTATGTACATGTTAAACATCTGTGCTGGCCACTATATTTCTGAATAGACAAGTGAATAAAGAAGCCTCATTTGAACCTGGGAACTTGCTACCTCTTTGCTAGGGAGACATTCTCAAGATCACTGTAAACAGATTAGCTATCACTTAACCCCATTTTACTGTCCTGCTGTAATAAATGTGAGCATTCTAGTCCATGCTGGTAATTGCAAATATAACACCACAACATGTTAACCATTCTACATTAATTGACATGGACCACCAAGATATCATCTTCTGTATATGGATTATAAGATGATTAGTATCACTTCTAGATCAAATAAATAGGGCAATAATACTATTCTGTGCATATCGACTCAGAGGTAAACTCCACTGAGTTCAATAGGACTTGGCTTTCCTGTCAGTGTGAATTGCCTAGAGCCTAAATTAATGGGAAATCAGCAAAACTCTTGGTTGGTCGTAAGCCCTCAGTATGGAATTAGTTACCTCAGTTATCAATCTGATGGTTTCTGGGGCTATTTTTATTGCAAAGCCTGATTTGAAAAGGACCAAGTCATTTAAAAAAATCGGCAAGAGAATCTGCAGTGATATTAACATAGTCTGTTCAGTAACTAACAGTGCAGTAATTCTATACAGTAACAAGATGGCCTGGCTGAATTGCTCATGAAATCCGTTGGCTTTTTGCCATTGGGAATAATGCCAAGATGCCTACATTATTTTGACAAAATGTGTTGACACTTGTATGAAATATAGTTTATATGATGAGCATTCTGTAACTTTATTTGAAAATTAAGGTTCAGTAAGTTAAAACATATGATTGCTGAAAAGCATAAACTGCATGTGATTAACAGGAGATTCTAGTTCAGATTATCTGTTTGTATATACATTGAGGACAGAAGCAGAAAGACCCAGTATTATTATTATTTTTCTAAGTACCATGTGTTAATTATAATTCAGCAGCTAGGCCACAATTTAAGGGATTATTCGTTGAAATTATTACTACTAATAATATGGCATTTCCCCTCAGTTTTATCTGAAGTTGGAGAGAAATATGTAGATGAAGAGGTAAAGAATGCACTGATTGGCATTAAACAGATGAAAATTATGATGGAAAGAAACGAAGTCAAGCACACTGATCTGATGAAAACTTTAAAGAAGAGCAGCGAAGAAAAAGAGGTGAATTTAGTCATCACAGTTTTAGACCTGGAGTGACTCAAATGTATGACATAACGGTTTTCAATGCTGGGACTAAGGGTACACCCCTTTTTTGAATGCTGCTTTTGTTACTTAAATGGAGATGTGATAAAATGGGAATCTTTCTAAATCAGATAATTGAAGCTTGGAGAATAAGCACTCCGAGTCACAAAACATGGGCCTTTAAAGGAATGCAGCACTCACTAGAATGTTCAGAATGTTAGCTTGGAGAACCTCCACATAGAATAAGTTGCACATGAGTTGCTCAAAGAAATAAACATTTTAGCTACATGATAACTACATCTTTTGCTGCACGTGAGAGAGAAAAATTTTTCATGTGCCCAAACCATTGTAAGTCAGTGCTTGTTTATTAGGGTGGTTAGGGATGTTGAATACATGCAGCTCTTTATTATTAAAAACAATATTGTTCAAAATTCCTCATGCCTTAATCCCTTTACAAGGAAGCATGCATTTTTTCTAGGAAATCCTCTCCAAACGATAATAAATTGCCAGGAGTCCCTAGTATCTATTTTGGAATAAAAACAACAGATGAGTGCCATATGGTATGAAACTGAGGTTTGCTTACCTGACTAACTGTTCATACGGCTGTGGTTAAGAAGTAATCACTCTCTATCACAACCATGCTAAGGGCACCCCTAGCACGACCATGGAAATGGAGGGAAGAGTCTTCAGGAAGACTAACAACAAGAACAACAAATGCCTTGGACTCAGGGAGTTAATGTGCCTTACCATTTTCATCTTCTGAGACATAAACAAGTCTCTACTATCACCTATACCCTTCTGCTATCAAATCCAGGAGGGGCTGGACAGCTGTTCCTATAGTATCACTGCTCAAAGGAGCAGCTGAGGTTGTGATTTGCCCCTGGTGCCAGCTCTATCGAGAAGAGCTGTCAGACAGTGGTAGAACACGTGCTTTACATGTTCCATGTTCATTCCCCAGCATCTCCAAGTAGAGCTGGGAAAGATTCCGGCCTGAAGACCTGTTGCCAATCAGGGTTGCAGATAACTCTGAGTTAAATGAACCAGTGAGCTGACTCATATGGCAGTTTCACGTGCTCATATGGCATGGTGGTGGTGGTGGGGTTAATGGAGGGGGGATAAAAGGAGGGGAAATAGCCTTGCTTTTGCAGTGCCTCCCCACAGGTCATTGTGTTGCAAGATCCTACCTGATTTACTGTATTTTTCTGTGTATAAGACTAGGTTTCCCTCCTAAAAATAATGTAAAAAATTAGGGCGTGTCTTATACATGGATAGTGTCTTACCCCATTTTCTTAAATCTGAGTCCCCCAAAACAGGGGGAGTCTTATACATGGGGGCAGCTTATAGACGGTAAAATACGGTATATGCTTACTAGGAAGGCACAAAGGAAGTTGCCTTATCCAGAGTCAAACCAATACAGTGGTACCTCAGGTTAAGTACTTAATTCGTTCCAGAGGTCCGTACTTAACCTGAAACTGTTCTTAACCTGAAGCACCACTTTAGCTAATGGGGGCTCCCGCTGCCACCGCACCGCCGGAGCACGATTTCTGTTCTCATCCTGAAGCAAAGTTCTTAACCCGAGGTGATATTTCTGGGTTAGCGGAGTCTGTAACCTGAAGCGTATGTAACCCGAGGTACCACTGTAGTTCATCTTTCCCAGTATTGTGGACGCTGACTGGCAAAGGCTCTCCAGGGTTTCAGGAAGGAGTCTCTCCCACCCTTACCTGGAAATGGCAGGCATTGAACCTGAGACCTTCTGCATGCAAGGCAGATGTTCTACCACTGAGCTACGGCCTCTCCCCATGATCTAGTTGTTGATTGAAGCAGGAAAATAATATGACTGGCACTATCCTTGAACACAGAAATGCAGAAATCTTAACTTGAGGGTTATTAAGCACAAACATTTATTGTGCCCTAAAGTGGATTAGTGTTTTAGCATGGGACACAGCAATTCTGTAGAAATAATGTACAGTGGTACCTCGGGTTAAGTACTTAATTCGTTCCGGAGGTCCGTTCTTAACCTGAAGCACCACTTTAGCTAATGGGGCCTCCAATTGCCGCCGCGCCACCAGAACACGATTTCTGTTCTCATCCTGAAGCAAAGTTCTTAACCTGAAGCACTATTTCTGGGTTAGCGGAGTCTGTAACCTGAATCGTATGTAACCTGAAGCATACGTAACCCGAGGTACCACTGTATAACTAAGGCCAATTTTCAAAACGCTGACGTGTATTCTGAATTAAGTAACTTTGTGATCCATAAGTTATAACCAATTCCTTAATTAGGAAGCTCTAAGGCTTATGAATGAAGTCAAAGAAAGACTGGAAGACGAAGAGCAAATATGCCAGGGGTCTTTGAAGAATTTATGGGACGAGTGCCAATCTTGTCTAGAAAGTAACTGCATGAGATTTTATACCACCTGCCGCCATGGCTTCTCCACATTTACAAGTAAGGTAAGAGGCATGTGAGGGGAAGCAGCATAACTGTATATAGTACGTATTCTGCTAAAAGCCAGGGCTGTGTGCATGCCATCATCTTGAGACCCCACAGAGAAAAAAGGAGTAGAGTTGAAATTGCAACTTTCTCCAGCTTTATTTTTATTTTATTCAGCATCTTCAAAAGTCAGAGGTGGAGCTTTAGTGCATCACATAACCCTTTGCTCCTTGTTTTGATCAGCAGAAGCAGATTAAAATATAAGCAAGATGCATGCAAATTTTGCCTGGGTTCATAAATTATAGGAGCCACACAGCTTTCTTGGTGTAGAATTTGAGTCACCTAGTTGCAAAGTGTTGACCGGAGGGTTTGGCAGTGCCGAAACAGCTCCTTCAGGCTGTAATCCTAAACAGAAGGAGAGTAAAATTTAGTTGGGCACAGTGGGACTTGCTTCCAAATAAACATAGGATAGCGCTGCATATCGCACGGACCACCACCTACCTTAAGTTGGATCAGAATTTTCAGTAATGATACTCATTGTCCAAGTAAGACGCTTGATTTTCTGGTCCTTGGTTAATTAGAAAGATAATACTTGCTTTTGTGCATTTCATTTTAAGGTTAAATTAATACAGCTGCCGTGACATATTAGAGTATGGCGTCTCAGCATAATTCAGTTAATAAGGAAAATTTGCATTTCAAAAAGTTTGGGGTGTTTCCATGCATGTGCTTTCGAAACATTCCTTTGCACCAATTACCAAAGGATGAGAATTGGACAATTTGCTGACAGGAACTATTTTCTCTCCACATGCAGGTTGAAGATTTTTTCAAGAAATTGACTCCATTATCACTTCCTGTTTATGAGCTTCAAGAGCGAGATCTCCAGTTTAAGAAAAAACCTGAAGAAGAGGATGCCCAGCTGGCACAAATGGAACACTTGTTCAACCAGCTGTTATCTGACGTGGGCACAATCTTTGAAAAAAGCTTTGTTTTTTTCAAACGGATGCAAAAAGAATTTGATCAGTCTTTCCAAATGTATTTCATGTCTGATCCAGACTTGACGGAGCCCTACTTTTTGCCAGCTTTTTCTGAGGTAACTGTAAGAAACCCCATTCCCCCTAAAGACTGGGAGGCACCAGGCTTCCTCCAACTAGTTTTTGACTTCAGCAAAACTGTCCTGGAAGGCGTTGGTGAAGTGATTACTGAGGTATTTGAAGAATACCGAGAGACTGCAAGAGACATGGCAGAACAACTTAAAGGCAAGTTGTAAAACTCGCATTTTAATATCAATAGCATTGAACCTTTGCTGTAGGTTTTTTTTTTGCATTTTTAGGAGCATATCTATTCAGGCTGGTGTAAATCACTGCAATGCTATTGTAATATGTTTTATAATGTTGTTGTTGTTGTTATTATTATTATTAATTGCAGTTACATCCCATCTTTTTCGCCAAGGGTCTCAAGGTGGTGTACATCATTCTCTCCCTCATTATTTAATCCCAACAGCTGCTGTATGAGGTAGATTAGGCTTAGAGTTAGTGACAGGCCCAAGATCATACAGTGATATTCATAGCCAAGTGGGGTTTGGATCCTGGTCTCCCAGGTCTTAGTCCAACACTCTAACCACTACACCACACTGGTTATCCAAAAAGCAGCAATTGTATTCACTGGATTGATTTCCATTCCGGACAGGGGATGATGAACAAACTTGATTTCTCATCTACCTCATTTTAGGTTACTGACAGTTCCCTATGCAAACACCACCAGACTGCCACTGTCAGCCTCATAAATATGTCTGCTGCTTTTAGGCTGGTTGTTTCATGTCTACTTTGATGTTTAAACCACTCAATATCATATTTTACTTAATTAGATCTATGTTATTGTTAATGGAGTGTACCATGTGTATTGTTAATATCCTATGCATGTTTACTCTAGATTCTGATGGAAGTGGAATGTTCTCCAAGAACATGGCAGACCATGAGAGAACTCCGTGCAATAAGCTGCGTCAGAATTCATCGGGATGCCCTCAATTTCATGAGAGATGCCAAAAATGTCAGGATCATTTTATGCGAGGTAAATAACGGCCCTGTTCATCACCAACGATACTACTGTCAATTTCTGTTTTGCAAAATAGTCATAACTATTTAGATTTAATTGCTGATGAAATGGTTTTGAGAAGCCACAAAAACTGAGTCAAATGATTCAGTAAAACATTCCTAAGGACAAAATATATTGTAGTAGGTGTTTCTACTTGCTATAGTAAAACAGGGTTAATATCAACTACGTACATACATGTCCAAAACTACATACTGATAAGCCCACAACAGAATCCAGCTGCATAGACACTGTTCTGCCACTTAAGACTTTTTATAACAATTCTGAGAATAGGTACTTCTATAGATTGATAAGCAATTACACTTTTAAAAATATATGAATTTTTAAGAATGTTTCTTAAATTTCTTAAGGAAGCTTTCTACATTTTGTTTGATTCCTATAGTTTGCCCCGATGTTCCTGAACTACATACAAAGTATGATGATGCCTCTAAGCTGGTGAACATCTCTGGTGAGCAATACCAACAGATTCTCCAGATGGTCAAACGTCACACAGAAGACACAGCCTACCTGTTGAATAAAATGAAAGAAAGATTTGGATGGGTGTCTGAACTTTCCAACATGACTATTGGACCAGAAAACATTTTCAATATAGTAAAGGTAAATGCCACCCATTAAAATGCCACTGCACAATGATCTCTCTGTTCTGTTTCACTGATATTTATTGCTTCAGTACTGCCTAGGGAAAATGTGTGTGTGTTATTTTTATTCTTTAAAATACTAAGCTCTTGTGGAGGTAGATTTTAAGTATACTTGATAATCCCTTGATGATCTGAAACTCCAGAGCTTAGACACTAGCCTACTCTAAATCCTTTTAGTGTGATGATGGTTAACTGACCTGTATCACCATCTGACAGCAACAAAATGGCACAAACTGGTTTGAATTTCTGTAAATTACTTTTCAAGAAGAGAGTTTTGCTAGCGTCTGACAGGCATCTTCTTTAGATCAATATAACAAAAACATAGCTCAAGGCAAAGGGAATGTTATAATCCTTCAGGCACATAGGGTACAAGTCATGCAGTGCCTCCAGTAATTTTCCAAAAGGTGTTTCTAAAAAATAATATTTCCAAGCTCTCGCTTGCACTGAAAATTATAAAGGAAAGATAAATTATGCTATATTGCATACAATTTACATAGTACCCCAGGGTGACTTAAGAATGGGGGGGGGGACAACAGTTGTTGAAGTTTGTTTTGTAATCCATGGATGAGGAATTGGCATCACCAAGACCAGGGGTCTAGGAGGTATTGCTTCTGGTTGTGCCCATCTGGGAGCTCAGTGCAGAACCAACATACGCTGGAGGGGTCAGGAGTTGCAACTGCTGTAGTCTCTGGAAATTCATATTTCTCTCTCCAGGACTCCTGGCTGCTTGAATACCAAAATTGTTTAACGCTGCACACTACTGTTTATATTGATGCATTTTAATTAGTAAGGGTATTTATATACTGCTTAATAATAACATATAATGCATTGTATTGTATACTTTATTTTACTCCTTTATTTTTGCAAGCCCCCCCCCCCAAGAACATATGTTGTTGGGTAGCTCCATGAATATGGCAAATGAAATAAAGAAAAGAAATAACTGAAATGTGGACAATGTATTATCAAATATCGTTGAAACTATGCCCCAAATTGCTATCTTTTTTCTGGGCCTCTGCATCCCTAATAGCAACCATCAAACAGTTAGAAATGTATTTCCCATCATCAAAATAATTATGATGATGATGGTGATGGTGATGATAATAATAATAAACAAGACCAAATCAAACAATACAATTTTAGATTGCATTTGATTAATAACCTACTTTATTATTCTTCCCCTTAAAACTGAGAAGTTTAAAAAAATGATGGTGTGTCTTGAGGTGCCATATTCTCACATATGTCACTTGGTTCTCCTTCAGGTGTCATCAAGTGTCAAAGGAGGCGAAGCTGCCAGTCCAAATGAAACTGTCGTAGATGTGAATATTTTGACTTCACCTACTTTTACTGTCAAGGTTCCCCAAGATCTGGACACTGAAAGTTCAGAATTCATTGAATATGTAGCAGGGAAGGCTTTACAGCTTTACAAAAAGAATTTCTAGGCAAGGCAAGTTGATTGTCTTTACATTAAAAAAAAAAAAACCAACGGTTAAATTGTAATTTGTAAATTTTGTTTTATAGACAGGCTTTCATTGCTGAGAATGGGTGGTTGAAAGCAATCATTTACCACAGGTGCACTTGTTGTGGCAAAAGTTTCCTTAACACTTGACAGGATGAGATGACTAAGGAAGTCCAGCATTAGGGAACACACTGGTAGTTTGGTCATCTGAATGGCTTCTATGCCAGAGTTTATTGAAATACAGCCCTTCTTTGTGTTCCACCCACTGCTTTTTTAGTTACCAGTGGATATACACTCACACAATGGATTCTCTATTTGTGTGGTTGTGTGGGGGGGGGGGCTGGAGGGAGAAGGCAGACAAAATGAGTTTAGCAGCATGGGACTAGTGGATCTTGCCTGTGTGAGTAGACTCCATTACAGGATGGTATGGCATAATAAATAAAAATAAATAGGTCATTCTCAAGCCTGAACCTCAGGAAGATGGTGACAAAACCAAAGGTTGTTAGATTTTCTAAGTCCAAAGGCCTGATGTTTTCCTAACTAATGTAAAAGTCCTGCACTGCTGCTGAGGAATGAAGAGATGCATTGGTGCAGTGGCATACATTATATCCTTACAACTTTGGGAAGTTTTCAATGTTGGATGTTTTATTGTGTTTTTAATATTCTATTGGGAGCCACCTGGAGTGGCTGGGGAAACCCAGCCAGATAGGTGGGGTATAAATAAATTATTGTTGCTGTTGTTGTTTGTTATTAAAAACATTTAATGATTATTTTTAAAGATTTGTTATGAAACTTTATTCATAGTTAATTAATACTATTTGTTTTTCTTTTTTATCTCCCTAGAGAGGAAGAAGTGAACAGTGATTCCTACTTTGAATCCAGCATATTCTCCTTTAGCAAAGTACACCAAAAGTCATCATACAGAAAAAACCTGCAGATGATAAAATGTTTAATAAATGTGTTGAATATCAGTATGAATGTAACTCTTATGATTTCTCTCTGCATTCAGTTGTTGAGACCAAATCTAAAGAGATATAGCTGGTGAATACTGAAAATGTTTCTCCTTAGCATTTGGATTATGTTTCCAAGAGAGGGGGTAAGAAATACATGCATAGATTTCAGTTGTATTCTTTCCAGTAATGTAGATGTTGGAAGAGGTATTTTCAAAGTATACTAAAGTCCTTAATATGTAGTTCCACTTATTAATGATTTAGATCAGTTTTGCATGTGTGCTCTGGTTAAGGAACCTGCCATTACAGTATACCATAATGGCCCGTATCCAAAGCATGGTATCAAGTCTTTATATTGTAATGGCAATGAAAGAATAGGCTGTGGTCCTTCTCTACTTGACAGAGTTCACTGTGTAGAGGGTGAAATCACAGAGAGGAAACCTGAAGTGCACATGCAAAGCCATCTTCAATAGTGTATGAATATTCATGTTTTTCATTCATTAAAAAATATACTTATTCTTTATATTCTTACTTCCCAAATAAACAAAAAAATGCATCAACCTCTTATTTGTAGTTTGAATAATTTTATAACTAGAATCAATTCACTCATTGTGGGACCAAGTTATATTTTATGAGGACAATCAAAATGCCACAAATTACGGTAACTGTGCGGCTTTTGACTTCCCCAGAACTCTTTATTAGGCTGGTCTTTTCAATTATGGTGCTCTCGAGAGTCCCATGGACTGCAAAGATCAAACCTATCCATGCTTAAGGAAATCAGCCCTGAGTGCTCACTGGAAGGACAGATCCTGAAGCTGAGGCTCCAATACTTTGGCCACCTCATGAGAAGAGAAGACTCCCTGGAAAAGACCCTGATGTTGGGAAAGATGGAGGGCACAAAGAGAAGGGGACGACGGAGGACAAGATGGTTGGACAGTGTTCTCGAAGCTACTAACATGAGTTTGACCAAACTGCGGGAGGCAGTGGAAGGCAGGAGTGCCTGGTGTGCTCTGGTCCATGGGGTCACGAAGAGTCGGACATGACTAAACGACTAAACAACAACAAAAAATAAACGTATTGTTCTAAGAGGGATTTTGGAAATTTTCTTATAGACCAGCAAAGATCCTTTTTCTATCTTTTGTTTTTATGGCCAAATCCAGGCAATTTCCTATTAAATGAAGAGCAAGTGACTTTATGCAAAATTAATATTGTATTCTTTGTGATATTCAAATAGTTGGACATTGCTGGAACAAGATTTTGAGTTTTACTCAGCAGTGCATCTTATCTGACCGCTCATACATTATAAGAATGCAGGTGCAGTCAATTTTGCGCTTGTGTTTTTAAGAATGTAACATGGGAAACCTGCTGTACTCCATACATACATCCAATGTAATCTAAAGGTATATTCCCTAATATCAGAATAATCCCGATTTCAAAAACTGATTAAGAATCACCATCGTTCATATAAGCTAGAATTTATAAAGTGTGGAAGAGAAAAACCAGTTATATCCACACTACACATGCAAACCATACTTATACCACTTTAACAGTCATGGCTTCCACCAAATAATCCCTAAAATTGTAGTTTACTAAAGGTATTAAGTTATTAAGAGACCCCCTCCATAGCTGTCAACTTTTCCCTTTTCTTGCGAGGAATCCTATTCGGAATAAGGGAATTTCCCTTAAAAAAAGGGAAACGTTGACAGCTATGGACCCCTCACAGCACTCCAAAGGAGAGGACCCCAAAATCCAGCCTAATAAGGACTGAGTATGCTCGTTGTAGGGTAATCCCCGCCCCCGCAAAAGGGTACTGCAATTTTAATAGTTGTGTAAACGGGATTTCCGCCGGCACATCTTGTATAGCAAGCTGGTTGACTGTTGGCGTGGGGAAATGGAACTGGAGTACCCAGAATGCTGCAAAATCTTGTTGCAGCTCCCATTTGTCCCGCCTAATTGAGGGCGGCCGCGTATTCCAAAACACCGACCGACTGCGCGGGCGGCGAGAGGGAAACGCATCTCCCTTCAACGAGAGCCGCGGAGGATATAGGAAACGTGACAGCCAATAGCAAAGCGGGATCAGCAGCGGTGCCCGCCTCCACATCTCTCTTATTGGCTCGGAGGGGAAATGGGTGGGTGAGCGCGCCAGTTCCGAAGTTGCGCCTCTTCAGAAGCGGGAGGCCCTCGTCGTCGCGCTGGGTTTTCCCGCCCGCTTCCTCGTCGCCTCCTCGCTATGCCCGCTGTGGTGACCGAGACCGAAGGCCCTCGCGAGGAGTCCTCCGGCGCGGCGGCGCCGCCGCCTCACGGGGAGCTCCAGTACCTGAGGCAAGTGGAGCAGATCCTGCGCTTCGGGCACAGGAAGGAGGACCGCACGGGCACCGGCACCTTCTCCGTCTTCGGGCTGCAGGCGCGCTACAGCCTCCGAGGTGAGCCTCTCCTCCCTCAGCGCCGGCTCTTTTCTTTCCCCCTCAGCAGAAGGAAATGAGGAGACGCTGCGCCTTCCTGCGAGGGATAATGGCGCCTCTCGGTCATGTGGAGACGCTCTTCGATACCTAGCAATCGGCAAGCGTAGTGGGACTGACGACACCATAACAATAAAGCCCCAAGCTTTTTTAAAATGTTCGTTCGTGGGTTTTCTTTCCCTGTTTGAGGAAGGAATGGACGCCGCCCTGTTTTCACTTCCTCCCAGCAGCAGCAGAGGAAGGACGCAGCGTTTCCCCGCCAAAAACCGGATTATTAACGGCAGAGCGCATTTTGAGTGCGTTTGTTTATGTGCGCGCGATTATTTCCCTCCCAGCTCCCGACTCCAGGATTATTGGCACAAGCCAAAAGTTAAATGTCAGAATCGTACCATTTTTCTCATCTTGGGGCCGAGGGGTGTTAAGTTGTGGGTGAACATATCAGACGACACAGTGATTCTTCAAACAGCTCTTGGTTATTCACAGGCCAGAACAGAACTGAATTGAAGGGTTCAGCCAGCCTGCTTATATAGAGCTCCACTAGAACGCAACAGTAACCATTTTCTGTAACTATCCAATCACTGAATGTCACTTTCAATCCCTTATTTGCATATGTGGACCTGAGTGAAAACTATCTACAGTATCCCCCTGCTGGCCCAGGGTGAGAACTTCAGTACATAACAAGAGGTCTTCGGCTCCCCCCCCCCCAATAAAATATTTGAGCCCCCAAAGTTGATGGGCATTGCCATTCAAATAGTGTGCGTGCACCACACCATGTGAGCTTACCTGCAACCCTCCACCCCCCATATTTTATTTAAGTTGGCATCCCTGTCATAGACAGTCTGGAGCAATCCAGACCCAGGACTGCTTCTTTTGATCCAGGGTGCTGTAGAGGAAAGGGGGGTCAGGCTGGGAAGTTGGCCCTTCTAGGAGAAGGAAAGCTCTGGTCCTAAACGTCTGCTGCCTATTCTCTTAGGGAGAATAAAAGGCTAAGGAGGAAACCCTACACAAATCTGGAGTGGAGTCCCTAAGATGGCTGGATGGCACCTTGTATGCCTCCTTCTGGCAACTCCTGCAGCCAAGCTGGTGCCAAATGTATTGCTCTGCTTTCCTTTGGACCACATCAGTGAGGTCGAAAGGGGGCTCTTGTCTGGACAGCCTTGGATCTCTATACAACACTTGCGCCCCGGGAGGTCACTTTGGCAATCTGATGCTTCCTGAAAGGGTGTTTTAACAGGTGCATATGATTCGGTAGACCTCCCTGTCTGCTGGCAGCAAAGCCAGAAACAGGATAGGCTGTGAATCCACCGGATTTTGCTGCTCTGGTGTTACCACCGTAATAGATCTGGATATGACATAGTAAATTCTCCCACTGGGGTCCATTGGCCAGAAGATAAAGGTTAATGGGGAACAAATAAAGCCATAATCCACCTTCCCTTGCTGCAGCAAAACAATTGGGCTTTAGATGTAACAGTTGGTCTACCATGGATTCTTTTCTCTGCCCCTTCCTACAAATAGAATTGCTCTGTCCATATTTAATATATTTGGTAGGTAATGTTTCATTCCTCTTAAATGTGTACAGTGGTACCTCAGGTTACAGACGCTTCAGGTTGCAGACTCCGCTAACCCAGAAATAGTACCTCGGGTTAAGAACTTTGCTTCAGGATGAGAACAGAAATCATGCGGCGGCGGCGCAGCAGCGGGAGGCCCCATTAGCTAAAGTGGTGCTTCAGGTTAAGAAGAGTTTCAGGTTAAGAACGGACCTCCGGAACGAATTAAGTACTTAACCCGAGGTACCACTGTACTGATGAATTACAGATGTTCTCTTATCTGCTCTAACTTTCTTAAAATTTATTTTCAGATAATTTTCCATTGCTAACGACTAAAAGGGTTTTCTGGAAGGGAGTACTTGAAGAACTACTTTGGTTTATCAAGGTATGGTATAATAATTGGTATGTACTAGTACAGCTATATTCTATGTATTACTTTTAGCTCAGAACTAGTTGATACATTTAAATTTTTACTGTGTGCTAGGTTTGACAAGGTATGGTGGTCCTTTTTGTGTGTGTTCAAGTCTTCTATATCACCCTTGCTATCTTTGTTCCTGTAGTGTTAAAAAACTGCAGAATGTACTATCCCACACACATTTCTGTACAGTACTGCCTTTTTAACATAAATGCTCACAGAATTGCAGAATTGGAACAGATCCCGAGGGTCATCTAATCCAACCTTTTGCAATGCAGGAAGCTCAGCTAATAATTCTAAGGAATTCAGGAAGCATCTTAAAATTATGTTCTTAATTAACATTAATAAATATTTCTTTTTTTACCCCCCACAGGGTTCTACAAATGCAAAAGAACTTTCTGCAAAAGGTGTTAAGATCTGGGATGCCAATGGTTCTCGTGAATTCTTAGACAAACAGGGATTCTTTTCTAGGGAGGAAGGAGACTTGGGCCCAGTTTATGGCTTCCAGTGGAGACATTTTGGAGCTGAATACAAAGATATGCATACAGGTAATGACACATTCTATTGGTTTCCTATATTTAGGTATCCTCCGTACTGAGGACAGGATTAACTGCTTAATTAAAAATCCAGTATTCTAGGTACTGAAGAGATTATGGTAAAATAGTGCATTCATGCCTTAAATAGAACACATTTCCCCCTCTACGGTACACCCCGCCCCCCAGTACAGCTGTTCTGGGAAAGAGTTAATGTTCCTAAAAGATGCCTTTCTGTTCATTTGCCCATTTCACATATTATTGTGGGTTTTCTTGGGTAAATAAAGAGTACACAAAAGTATTTAGTACCTTAGCAGAAAGGTACCAGACATGGCTGCAGAGGGCATGCATATAGCTACTATCACAATCACTTCCTTCTCATAGACTCCCACCTATCTTATGTTAAAGATGTGGTGGGGTTAAAAGGGTGTCAAAAATAGTTCTTCATCATTCAAGCCACGCCCATCAATGGCACACATAAGTTCATATGGAAATCTGCACTGAGGGAACACAATAAGCAAAAAGTTATCATAAAAGTAGTGTGAAATCATAGACTGAAGGGGCAGTATTACTGCAGGTTCTGCGTTTCCCGAGCAAGGAAGAAGCA